GGCCTCAAGGGAAACTGCTGGTAGTTGGCATATCTTATCTCTTCCAGTGGCTATTCTCCAGAGAACATAATGGCCCTTTAAAATTTAAAGGGAAGACAGACACCATCTTGAGTAGACCATCCTGTCTCAGACTTTCTATGCTGGCATTAGCCAGCTGGTGATTCCATGTTTCAGAAGTCCGTCCCCCAGCCCTCTCTCTGCTGCTGGCATCAGAGGCAACAGAGTAGACCCTGACTACTTGAAAGTGGAGGGAAGGCTGGAAAGTCCCACAAGGCTTGACTGCCCCATTGGACTTTCACATGAACAGAAGGTAAGATCTACCTGTAAAAAATAATGACCACACTATTTCAAATGGGCTGTAGACTCTTTACTTCCCATAGGAAATAATGGCGCCATTATTTTCTGTGTAGCCAGTCAGCTCACTATTTTCCAGCAGTCAGGTTGGGCTCTGCTAATTCTGATGCTGGTGTCTATAACAGAATTCCAAAGGTGCACACAGGCTCAAAAATGCTGAGGACCACAAAATAGTTTTTGCTTTCCTCGTTATGCAAACTAGAAGAAGAAATGTTAATCCCTTTTTTTTGTAAATCAGTGTGGTGCAAAGGAATCCTTCTACTCTGCTCAAGTTGTCGGTGCATATTGTTGCAAATTAAGTTTCCCTTCCCCAGAATGAATGTCTGCATGCTATTCTTCTATTTCTGTCCTTAGATATAATACAACTAAACGTTTTTAATTGATCGATTAATTAATCAATTTGTTCTGATGATTACAATAATCTGTAATTTATCTTTCATGTTTTAATCAGCACAACTTTATATTAGTCTTTCTTCACACACATAGCAATGTACCTTCACCCTCCCCATCAGATGGTTAGCTTCATCTCTTTAAAAATCCCAATCGTGAACAGAACCATCAGCAACTCATCTCTTGAAAACTAGCATGTGTTGTCAGTCAGCTATTATGAATCAATTAATCAATATTTTCAGCCATACAATTACAGATCACAATGGGACATTTATTGGGTGGGATTCTATTAGTTGTTCTGCTGGTGAAACAGTGAAAGAGGCCTCACCTTTCACCATACAATAAGCTATGCCCACATGTACAAAATAAAGGGGGAAGTTGATATTGAGTGAAAAATCAGGCTGGATCCCATCCCTGTATGAGCCCCTGATGGAAGTCATAAAACAGAGTGATGAGCAAGATAGCAAGGATTATGTTAAGGTAGCAATATTGACACCATCTTAAAAGCAAATATCTAATCTCATATTATACTGCGTATAAGGTTTCAGCAAATAAATGTTAGAAGAGCAGGTTATTTTCAGCACCAAGGTCTAGCAAGCACATGATAGGTAAGGGTGGGTTAGAAAGTCTTAGGCCCAGAAACAGTGTGACAGCAAGGATAACAGTATAGATTTATGGACTGGAAATTCCCAAGGGTTAGAAAATGCTGGCTCTGTGTCTGCTTGTATGTCTGTTTGGTAAAGATAGTTCTTATTAAAAGTGGAACCAAGGACTTATCGGACCAGGCATCTGCACATGCCTAGGAGCTTTTGACAGCATTGTTCTTCACTGTATAAGAACTGCCTATTGAGGCTGCTGCTTTGGGCTTCTTGGTTCTTTACTACCTGGAGTCTCCTTTATTGTAATAAAGTTCTGCCTGTTTCTGGAATCCCCCTGTTGTGTCCTTCATTGGGTGTTGGCCCACCTGGCAACAAGCCTATTTGGCTAACAAGAGGACCATAAAGACATTGCAAATCACAAAAGACAACAAAACATGGAAAATAAGTGGGAAAACTATATAGAGTAATGAAACAAATATAAAATAAATATGGTACAAATCTGCTACCAATTCTTGTGTCATTGTTGTACTACTTAACTCCCCAATCACATTTTTCTCTAATTTCCCCTAAGAATTAGGATGAAATATCCATTTCTCTCTCATTTTCCCATACTATGTTATCTTCAAATTCAGTTAAGTTAGACTGAGATACTGATCATCTAGTTAACTTCTTGTCTTAGTGGACCTGGTTTTAAGCATAAGACCTTAACCACAACATCATTTCTCTTCTCTTCTCATATTGTCAACACTGTCTTACAGAATGAAGAGCTGGTAGAAGTAATGATGGCAATGTGAAATAAGAACAGGAAAATTCAGAAATTTCCCAGTTTCAGAAGAAACATCAAATATTCTTTAGTACACTGTTGAAGAAGTAATGAAATTATTGGTTAAATATCAGAGATTTAATACAAAGCAAAATAAAAATGATTACATTAAATGAATACTAACAGAAGTCTACATGTAAGCAAAGGAATAGATAAGTTGAATATATCATTAAAATATGAATAATCAAGAAAATGCCACAGCTTGGTCTGGATTCATTCTGGTAGGATTTGCAGAGGTTCACAAATTCCATCCTTTAATCTTTGCAGTGTTGCTATGTCTCTACATAATTGCCTTAATAACAAATATGCTGATTATCCTGATTGTAAAATCTGATCCTATCTTTAATTCTCCTATGTACTTCTTTCTTATGAACTTGGCCTGCTTGGAAGCCTGTTACATGACTGTTATCATCCCCAAACTATTGGAGAACTTATTGGTGAAGCCTACAGTTATTTCCTTTGTAGGGTGTGCTATGCAGATGTTTTTCTTCCTGTTTTTTGGAGTTGCTGAATGCTTTCTCCTGGCATCAATGGCAATTGATCGGTATATTGCCATATGTCATCCTCTGCGCTATTCCATTATAATGAATAGGAATGTATGTTTGAAGATGGTGACTAGTCCGTATATATGTGGGGCTGTAGTTGGACTTGTCCATACTACCATCACATTTTCTCGGCCATTTTGTGGAACGGTCATCAATCACTTTTTCTGTGAAATACAGCCATTGTTGGAGCTACTATGTGGAGATACTTTTCTAAATGAAGTCCAAGTAATTGGAATTGCTATGTTAGCTATCATGGTACCATTCCTGCTGATTCTCCTATCTTATTCTGGAATTATATTCAGTATTGTTGGGATGCTATCCATGGAGAGCAAATGTAAAGCCTTCTCTACATGTTCCTCACATTTAATAGTTGTCATTCTGTTCTATGGCACAGCATGTTCCACGTACTTAAAACCAAAATCTAACTACTCTCCAGCACTGAATAATATTTTATCATTTTCTTATACTATAGCAACCCCACTATTAAATCCAGTCATCTATAGTATAAGAAACAAAGAAATCAAAGGAGCCCTGAGCAAGCTGTGGAGCAAGAGGATTTTGTTGTGACTGTAAAGAATAAATGCATGATGGAATAGATGGATAAAGTAAATTATATGTACAAATAAATGTGAAAATACTTCATATTCTTTGTTTAAATTGTTGATTTAAAAAAATGGAAATGATGGGAAATTACAGCACCTGGTTTCACAAAGCTATTCTCATTTAGTACCAAATTATTGACTCAAAGAATATTGGTTTATGTGAAATAAACAGCTATTTCCCTACATATTTCTAACCCATGAAACATGTTATGTTCCCCCCAAGACTTAATTTAATAACAGATAATGCAAACATTTAATGTGAAAGTAGAATCTGAAGGATTGGAGCAGTAGGATCTCTAAGATTTTGCATCAGAAGCAGACCATTCATGGAATGATGTTTTAACACAGAAGGTAACAAACACAAAGATTAGCATGTTAGTATGTTGTAGCAAACTCAACAGTCACGTCACACCTCGAATACATTCATGAAGCAATTTGAAGCAGGTCTAACCTAATTAAGTCAATGAGACTTACTCCCAGAAATGTGTTTTTATACATAAAATGGGGCTTACTTTGAGGTAAACCTGATCCAAATTCCTCTTTAATTTTTTTAAGTACCACAAGGCTAATTTGTTTATTTAAAACATTTCAAATTAGTGCCCTTATGATAGTGGTCTAAAAGTAATATGTTTAGGGGAAACAAGAAATATTGGAGGTGATGCTCTCTTTTTTTTGGCAAAACGCTGTGGTTTTTTGTCCCCCAAACCATAGAGTTTGCTGAAAAACTAGAGTGTCACCCCCCAATGTTGGCAACATGATGACATCACTACCAGGTGACATCATTGTGCCAGCAACACAGGAAGGGGCTATTTGTCGGTGGCAGATTAGAGCTCCTGAAATTGGGGGAAACCCTGCCTTGACTTGGGGGGGATGGCAACTGTATTCCATGTACTTAAAACCCAAATGTAGCTACTCTCCACTAGTAGACAAGGTTTTCTCCACTGTTAAATCCAGTTATCTGCAGTATCAGAAACAGAGAAATCAAGGGAGCTGTAAGAGAGCTATGGAGGGAAAGGTCCTTGGTTTTACTACAAAGATAGATCAGTTAGATGGAGAGAGATATTGAAAAAGACATGACTGAAAGCTTGGTTTAAATGGTTGGTTTAAAAATATGATAAAGAAAATTAGGACCAACTGATATCATGAGCACTTCTTTCACATCACAAAATTATTGGATTAGGGAAGATTTATTTCCACTTTACAAGGAATGGCTTTTTGGCATGGGATAGCTTCACTGGAATAAATTAGTTGAACATGTTTATTTTTGTGTCTATTAAAATAGTTATTAAAATAATTCCATACAGGATATCTTAACCCACAGTGAACCGTCCTACCATTCTAAAACCCTAATAATCAAGACTGTCTGTTTAACAACATTATGCTAATTACGTGAAGCTGGACTGCTTTGCATAGCTTATGAAAGACTGGGTGAGAGAGAGCAGCTTAAACTTCCCCTAGCAGTCTATTCCAGAGCTCCAGAAGAATCACTGAAAAGTTCAGCAATGGGCTACCAAGGTCCTCAGACTCCTATAAGAGGAGACAGAAAGTAGGAACTGACATGATAGATGGTGTTGAGTCAGAGGAATATATAGGAAAACAAAGTCATTAGGGTATGTGCATCCCAGTCTATGTATTGATTTAAATATGAAAACCAGAGCCCAAAATACATAAGCAGCCACTGGAAATTCTTCAAAACAGATGCAACTTTTTGAAAACAATGGGGCTCAGTTAGAAGGCATTCTACTACTGTGTTCTGAACCAACTTCTACTTTATTGTCTTCAAGGGCAGCCCCATGGAGAGCACATTTCAGTAATCCAGCATCAAGTTAACTGTGACTCATATTGGTTTTGCTAAATTGGCTGGATCTAAGAAGGGAGTCATATTGCATACCAAATGGTAGTTGTAGTAAGCATCTCTGGTAGAAGTGCTATTGTGTTTCTCCACTGAGTGAACTGGACACAATAGTACCAACAAATATTTCACTTAATCTACCAATCATAAGGTAACCCCATTTAGGCTACAGCAAAATTCCCTCTGTTTTATCAGCCTTCCAAACCAGAAGCACACCCATCATCCTGGGTTCAGTATCATGCAGGTCATCAGCCACAAGATGAATGGATCCAGCCAACGTCCCTAAGGCACAGATGGAAGCTTCTAAATTCTTAGTTAATGAAATATAGAGCTGGGAGCCATTGACATATTGATGACACCCTCCCTCAGAACCATGTTGTTATGGTGGTGGGCAGCCACCAGTCTCAGCTGGTGACTATGAAGCTCAGCTGGATGGCTGACAAAAAAAAATGTCTGCAATCTGGTAGCTGAGATTTGGGGCATGGTAGAAATAACATTGGAAGTGGGGCATGTTTTCTCACAGAAGGCAAACCTCAGATGTAACTGAAGCATGGCGTAAAAACAAGGCACTGTATTAAACACAAGGTACTGATAGCATTCATGGCAAAAACAAAAGTTTAAAACTATTATTTAAAAGTCTAAAAACTGTCCACAAATCAGACCTCAGGCTTGAAGCAGACCTATAAGAGCCAAAAGGATAAAACTCCTTAGCTAAAAGCCTGAGTGAAAAGAACATTTTATGGCATCTAACAGAGCAGTCTAAGAAGAATTATACCTCTAAGCCCATTGACTTCAATAGAAGAATTTAACTCTGCTTAGGACAGTATTATTAAAGACAGTATGGATCACACATCCCTTTTGAAAAAGTTAGTGTTGCAAGCTACCCTGGAAGAAACCTTAAACTTGGATTCATAGGGCACAGCCAACAGTCCCAGCTAGGCTTTGGGGCAAGAGATCATTTGCTCCCAGGTGCTGTTGCTTGCTACTGTTCCAAGGAGACAGAGGCTTACAAACAACGCCAAAGCTATTGGTTTGAGCCCAAAGTCCTATAGAGATATATGAGGTAGCAAACAGTTACTATAGATCAGTTTGATCTGTCTGTCAGACCTAGCTGTCAAGCTAGTAATCATGTAATTGCAGCCAGGTGTTTCTAGCAGGTGTTGCTCTTTCGGGTCTTGTTAGAGTTAGTAATTACATCACTGTGTTAGAGATTGGTTGGGGTTTAGCATATTAGCTATCAGCTTAGTTAGCTGGAGGGGACTTAGTTCTCATAGACTAGGCACGACATGCTATTTAATAGCCTGTAAATATCTCTGTATATATTCACCTTTATAACTATATAAACTCTCTGTGCACCTTCATAACTGGTCAGTCTCCCACTTCTTATTTCCCAATAGGTCCACCCGTTATTATTGGTCTTGCACCAGATTCTAAACAGCAGCACAGTCATAGTCCTCCCTCTGCCTTTGGTGGTGAAAGTCTTTGGAAGGATGCACATGAACTCTGTTGATCCTCTGCAAGAAGGTTCAGGGTAATTCAACAGTGAATTAACAACAAAGACTCTGTGAACTGGGAGATGTGGACTAACCAGAGTACTTATGTAGAGTATGGGGCCCAGAAAGATCTTAGGCCCCTGCTTTTGATGCGATGCAACATCGCCGGACTACAACGAATCAGCTCGGCCTGTCTGTGGGACTCCCACTGCTTGCAGCCCTGACCTAGCATGCAGCCTTTGCCTGCAACCCTGACCTGGTGTGCGGACACAAGCTGTGAGTCAAGCGGGGGGGGTGAGGTGAGAATTGGCAGTGTGAGAGTCGGTGGAGCAGCAGAAACCGGAGAGGCTGGAGCAGCAATGATCAAGAGAGATTCCCCCACCTACCAGGACCCTGAGCGGCGGGCCAGTGAAGCAGTGAGTGGTGCAGGGTTTGCTGTGGGACAATCAGGAGGGCTGCTGTTTCCATCAGTTGAGGCTCCCAGGTGGGGGACTGGGCGGCGGGACTGCTATGGTGCCAGCGCCAGTGCCAGTGGCGGCAACAGAGTGAGGAGCCAGGTGGGCATGGAGTGGAGCTGCCAGGTGCTGCAGGACAGAGAGACGGCAAGCAGGCTGTGGTCCCTGGTCATCAAGCTTGTGGGATGGGGTGCAGTTACCCCCTGGGGGGCCAAGACAGACCATTCTGCAGTCGAGGAGAAGGTGGAGTACTGTGGACTAGAGGACCAAAAGTGGAGTGCCCCTGATGGTGGGTCCGCGACAGATAATCCAGTTCTTACTGGTGGCTCAGCTGGCGACTCCAGTGGTGCTCATAGAAGATCACCCAGCAAGAGGAGCAGCGTGTTCTCCTGACCTTCCTGACAGCTGTAGACCCAGCTTCCAGGATTAAACCAGAGTGCAATAGATCTCGCTGCCGTGGATGAGTGGTTTGGATGCATGAGTTGATGAATGGAAGGAGTTAGGATTATTCTGCTTTTAAGGGATGACTGGTTGGACAGATGTATGAGTGCCAGGTAGATTTTTAAACATTAATGAAGGGTGATGTAGGTTGCTGGCACAGTTAAGGAAATTGTTAATCAGATTTTGTAAAGCAGATTGTGTGGTGTAGTTGTATAGCAGTGTGGGGTAGTCAGGCTGTAGTAACAGCATCAGAACAAATTTCCAGCTTGTTGGCGGTGGTCTGGAGCTACGGGTTAGACCGGCCGATGCAGCAATGCCAGGACAACAGATTCCAGTGCTCTTTGGGAGGGGAAAGAATAGCGGTGGGTCCAGGCGGAGTGACAAAGGAAGGATGCTGAGAAATAAAAGGGCTCGGTGTCCTTCCAGCCTGCGACCCTTCCCAAAGGATGTTGGCAGTGGGACGAGGATTAGTAAAACCCCTCCGTCATTGGTGTTGTGCAACGCCAGGTCTATTAACAACAAGACAACAGTCCTTCGAGACTTTGTCATAGAACAACAGGTAGACCTGGTGTGCGTGACCAAGACCTGGGTGCGGGAGGGGAAAACGGTAGCTCTCTCCCAGCTTGCCCCACCGGGGTTCTCGGTCCTACACCAATCACAGACTAAGGGACAGGGGGGAGTGGCGATATTTGTGTGGGATGTTTACTCCATCAGGGCGTTCCCT